TGGGCCGGGCCGCGCCCCCCCCCCCCCCCCCCCCCCCCCCCGCGGAGGGGGGCGTTGGGGGCCACCTCTCCTGCCGGTGGGCATCGCTAACGGGTGCCTCCTCTCCCGCAGGGTGCTCGCGGTAACGACGGTTCTCCCGGTGCTGCCGGTCCTCCCGTAAGTAACCTCCCAAACCCACCCCACCCTCCACCAGCACTCGGCATCGGCTACGGCTTCTCCGGAGAGAGGTCCCTTCCCGGCTCCGCCTCGGCCGGGAAATCCTGGCCAGGGGCCAGAGCTCTGCTGCCCGGAAAACTCCTCGGTGCCAGATATGCGAGGTGGGATCCCTCCTCTGACGCGTGCCCTCTCTCCCTTCTAGGGTCCAACCGGCCCCGCTGGTCCCCCCGGCTTCCCCGGCGCTGCTGGTGCTAAGGTAGGACCTGCCTGACCATCTGCTCCCAAGGTGGCATCTCCCGGGCTGGGAGAAGCTGGTGGAAACTGGGAGCTGGTGGTGGCGGGGGGGGAGAAGGACCGAGCGTCGAATGGGTTCCCCACGTGGCCCAAAAATGAGGAAAGACGAAGTGCCACAGGCTCGCTGCTGCCTGGGACAGTGGGGCAGACGGGGACGTCCCCAGCCAAGTCTCATGGGCAATATCTCCTGGCTTTGCCTCCATGGGAAAGGAGCTGCAGACAGACCGGGAAATCAGCCACGTCAGGGGTTTCAGGGCAACCCTCACGCTCACGGCTCTTCCTCCCTCCTCTTCCTCCTCAGGGTGAAACCGGTCCCCAGGGTGCTCGTGGCAGTGAAGGTCCCCAAGGTGCCCGCGGTGAGCCCGGTCCCCCCGGCCCTGCTGGCTCTGCTGGTCCTGCTGTAAGTGGCGTCTGACGGCTCCTCGCCTTTCGGCCTCACGTCCTGCCGGCCCCGGCATAACCCTCCTCTTCCTCTTTCTCTCCACAGGGCAACCCTGGTGCTGATGGTCAACCTGGTGCCAAGGGCGCAACCGTGAGTGTCCCTTGCCCCCCCCCCGCCTCCTCCTGGCTCTGGGATGTGTGAGTGTCCCTTGCCCCCCCCGCCTCCTCCTGGCTCTGGGATGAGGGTCTGTGCTGCTTCCTCACTGCCTCGTCTGCCTCTTCTAGGGTGCTCCTGGCATTGCTGGTGCTCCCGGCTTCCCCGGTGCCCGCGGTCCCTCCGGACCCCAGGGTCCCAGCGGTGCCCCCGGTCCCAAGGGTAACAGCGTGAGTATCCCCGGACACCTCCACCTGCCTCCTCCCGGGGGTCGGATCCCTTCTTCTCCTCCAGCAAGCTGCTGTCCCACCTGGAGATATCTCCTCTGGCATCCCCCGTCCCTTCCAGCCCTGCGAGTGCAGGATGGTGCTGGAGGCTGACAGATGCTGAGCATCCCCCCTCCCTCCTGCTGAGGGGCCGGGCTCCCTTTGCTCATCAATCCGGTGTTAAATGGCTTTTCCCTCTTCTCTCTTTCCACCTCCAGGGTGAACCCGGTGCTCCAGGCAACAAGGGAGACACTGGTGCCAAAGGCGAACCCGTAAGTGACCCCCCAACATCTCCTCGGTGGCTCAGCCCCTCCTGGCTCCCGTGCACCCCGTGGGTGCTCATCCCTTCGCCTCCTTCCCCAGGGTCCCGCTGGTGTCCAAGGTCCCCCCGGCCCAGCCGGCGAGGAAGGCAAGAGAGGAGCTCGTGGTGAGCCCGGCCCCGCTGGGCTTCCTGGCCCCGCCGGCGAACGTGTGAGTAGGAGCAGTCCCTGTCCCATCCCCGCCATGTCCCTGTCCCCATCCCCGTCCTCCTCCTACCTCCCAACATCCAGCGGCTGAGCCTCGTGGGTGCTCGGGGACAGACACCCACCGTGGTGACATCCTCAGCCCTTTCCACCGAGGTCCCCACCGAGGTCTCCAGCGGAGCATCTCAGCAGGGACACCAGGCTGCTCCCACTGGTGGCCGGGTCCCACATCGGCACATCCCTCCCCTACACCCCC